GGCCTGCCTGCACCTCTGCCTGCACCTCTGCCTGCACCTCTGCCTGCATCTCTGCCTGCTCCTCTGCCTGCATCTCTACCTGCACCGCCCCGGGGCGTTGGGAGCCTGGCCATGGGGATGGGTCCATGGCCATGGGCACAGGTGGCTCTCTGGCCATGGGGACAGACAGGACCCTGGTCATGGGGATGGGTCCCTGGCTGTGGGGACAGGTGGGTCCCTGGCCATGGGGATGGGTTCTTGGCCAGGGGGACAGGTGGCTCCCTGGCTGTGGGGACAGATCACTGGCCATAGGGACAGACAAGACCCTGGCTGTGGGAATGGGTCGCTTGCTGTGGGGACAGGTGGCTCCCTGGCCATGGGGATGGGTTCCTGGCCATGGGGACAGACAGGACCCTGGCTGCGGGGACGGGTCCCTGGCTGTGGGGACATGTGGGTCCCTGGCCATGGGGATGGGTTCCTGACCAGGGGGACAGGTGGCTCCCTGGCTGTGGAGACAGGTCCCTGGCTGTGGGGATGGGTCCCTGGCCATGGGCACAGTTGGTTCTCTGGCCATGGGGACAGGTCCCTGGCCATGGGGATGGGTCCATGGCTGTGGGGACAGGTGGCTCCCTGGCTGTGAGGACAAATCCCTGGCCATGAGGACAGACAGGACCCTGGCCATGGGGACAGGTGGCTCCCTGGCCGTGGGGACAGGTCTCCACCTGCCAGATTCATCCTGTTTCTGTCCTGGGCCCCTCTGCCAGCCTGGCTGTGCCTGCAGCCGGGCAGCGCGGGGCACGGCAGAGCCGGCACGGCGGAGCCGGGTAGCAGCAGGCTTGGCCCACGCTTTGCCCTGCAGTGTGTTTACGCAGCAGGTCTGGGGCAGGGATACCTGTGGGGCTCCCAGACCCCAGCCACTGCCTTCATCCCGGGCCCAGCCCGCTTGCAGGCTCCCCGAGGGGCACAGGGGCTCACTGGGCTTGTCGTGAGCTTTGGGGGAGCTGCCCCCATGCGAAGACCCCGCCAGGCAGCGCGAGGACCCACTAGAGTGGAGGTCTCCCAGGCAGACCCGCTCTGCCAGCAGCAAAGTGGTTAATGGTCTCTCCACGCCAGCTCTCCACGCTGCCTCCTGGACGAGGGCTCTCCTGGGCAGGTTGCTGGTCCGGGGCCAAGGGGAGGGCCGTACAGGGGACTCGAGGCAGCCTTTGTCCCAGGAGCGGGGCTCTGCACTCCAGGTACACGCTGACACCGGGGCAAGCACAGCGAGGCTGGGAGCAGCGGCCAGGAGCCCCCAGGTGAGCCACAGGCAGGGGCGGGG